GGTGGGGTGGAAAGAGGGAACCGATTACAAGGATCTACGTCTATCCTCCTCCCTGGGGGATGGACAACAGAAAAGTGGGTGAAGGGAGACATTGGACAGTGTAAGATTTGACAAAATAATAATTATCAAGGGTTCATGAAGGGGGTGGGAACTGGGAGGGAAGGGAAAAATGAGGAGCTGATACCAAGGGCTCCAGCAGAAAGCAAATGTTTTGAGAATGATGAGGGCAACACGTGTACAAATGTGCTTGACACAATAGATGTATGTATGGATTGTGATAAGAATTTTATGAGCCCCCAATAAAATGATTTAAAAAAAAGAGAGAGAGAGAGCGGGAGAGGCTTCTGCCAAAGATGCAGACCAGACTCATTTCTCTCTCTCTCTCTCTCTCTTTCTCCCCTCATTGTTTATTCTTGGATGTCTACCAAAGGTCAGCTAGAGAGTTTACCTCAGAAAACTTTCAGATACCCTCCTTCCTTCATATCCTACCCTGTCATAGCATGCTCCCCCAAAGAGCATTCCTTCTGAGTGGCCCTGAAATTATCCATAAAATAAGGTGTTAAATGACTCAGACTTTAATATTAGCAAAATAATGTTGAAGGGAATTGTCCTTGTCTGTGTCTATTAAAGTCTGCTTTTGTAAAATGTCACCAAACCCAAATCCCCTGAATTCTCTGTATGGACAAAGTGACCTTGTTCTTTTGCTGCAATACCTTGTGAATCCAGAGGAGGTGCTACCCCATGTCACTTCCATAAATTCTCCAGTTTGGAATAGAAACTGGTTTGTTCTCAGACATTGTACACTGACTCAGTGTATTCCTTTCATATTCTTTTGTCCACAGAATCCTCCAGTATTACAACTTGAGCTGGAATTTTTCTCTTCAGTTTTTGTCCAGCTTGAGAAATGCCAAGTATAATCTTACTTTATGATTTTCATACTCCACTTTTCCATTTTTTCATTATAATAGCTACACATGATTGGATCTTGATTATTTTGTCTTACAATCACAACCTTTAAATGGCAATTAGTTTGCTTAGTCCAATAAAAGTTAATACTTTAATTTGTTACTGAATTAGTTAGTTCTACTGAGCTGCAATTATGCACACTAGCTTACCTGGTGGCTTAGAGCATTCACTGGACTGCTAATTACAAGGTCAGCAACTGGAAATTACCAGTCCCTCCCTGGGAGAAAAACGAGGCTTTGGCTCCCATACAGACGTACAGTCTTCGAAACCCACAGGGCAGTTCCACTGACTCCTCCATGTTCCCTATGAGTCAGAGAGTTTGGTTTAGTTTTAATTTTACATTAGGTGAAAAGTTACCATGAAAGAGCTAAATATATTTTTACTTTCCAAATACTTTGTCTTCATTAAGTTCTTCCTGACCATTGATCAGCAATGCGGAAAAATTTACCCTTAGTCAGAGTATGTTTGCTGTGGCTCCCTTACCCACTCCGAGAGGATCAGTTTTATCCTCAAGAACTTGACTAGAAATTGTTGTACTAAACTCTCACGAGGAACGAGGAACTGTGGTTATGTAGTGAGCTGCTAACTGCAATATCAACAGTTCAAAATTACCAGCCACTCTGAGGGAGAAAGATGAGGCTGTCTACTTCTCTAAAGATTTAGTTTCAAAAACCCACCAGAGACATTCTACTCTGTCCTAAGTCACCATGCGTCAGAATCAACGCAGTGTCAGTGAGAGTCTCACGATGATGAGGCACACCCTCACCAAACGGTTTCAGAACCAATCACATAAGATTTTCTAATCTGCATTATCATTGATATTCAAAACATGACCCCTTTCCCACTGCTGTAGCTGTAGTTCCTCCTGGGTCTGATTAATTGATCTGGAGTCAGCCAAGATTTTGCGACCATTTACTTTGTTTTCATGCCCTAATTAAGTGTCCAGCTGGCTGCGAATGCCTTGGCCACCATTGGCTCTCTCTCTCATGCTGCTGCCAGAGTTGTGGTTCAGTGTCATTAAGCTCAGAGTGACCCTGTGTCAAAGAGAACACAACACGGGTCTCTCCCAGCCGCACAATTGTGATATTCACACCCAGTGTTGCAACTTCTGGGTCACATCATCTGGTTGAGGGTCTTGTTCTTTGTTGCTGCTTCTCTGCATTACCAGGTATGATGTCCTTTTTCCAGGGACTAGTCTCTCCTTAGAGCATGCCCAGAGTACTGGGAATGAAGTCTCATCACCCTTGCATCTAAGGAGCATTTTGGCTGTAATACTTCCAAGAGAGATTTGTTTGCATGGTACTTTTAATATTTTTTGCCATCACCATAATTCAAATGGAACAATGCTTCTCTGGTTTTCTTTATTCAATGTCCAACTTTCACATGCATCTGAGATGGAAAATACCATGACATGGGTCAAATGCACCTGAGTCCAAAAGTAAGATCCTTGTTTTTTAATGCTTTCATGATGTTCTGTGCAGAAGATTTACACAATGCAAAATG